AGCATAAGAAAGAACAAAATCATCTCATTTTCTGGAAAATGTAACTGGGGATAACCATATTAAACAAAATAAGCCAGACTGAGAAAAACAAACATGTCACATTTTCCCTCATTTGTGGATCCTGTTTTTGTTTGGTTTTGTTTATAGCTACATAACAAAGCAGAAGAGAAGGTGGGGGAAAGAAATGGACTGGTAGTAAGAGAGAGGTGAAGAAAGAGGAGGATTCAGGATCCAGAAGGTAACTATGATAAACACATGATATACATGCAACTGTCTTTAGGAAAACCAGCACCATGCACAATGAACACACATATGAACAAGAGTAAAGTAGAGGCTCTCCAGAGTGACCTTTAAAACCACCCATCAACAAAAGCTCCATTGATGTCATTGGTGGCTAAATAAGATATTGCACACACACAGAAATGGTCACAGCCAATCAGAATTCTTCAGAATTGGTTGCCAAGCTCTATGAATGTTCCTTGTTTAAATAAGCTATTTATTGCTTCAGTTATAAACATTGTATAAAGCCCAATGTGAAAAATAATATCCATCTTCTAATGAAGCTTTAAGTATTAGAGGAAAGACACTTGAAGGGAAGTAACAAAGATGCCTATGTTTGCAGCAAAAACTCTCCTTTGAAAAAAGAGGTACAGTGCTCAAGAGTCTAGGCAGATTAAACTATTCCATGCAAACAGGAAGACTCTTTTTAAATACAGGTCAGAGTTAAGGGTAGTGGTTTTTAAGGAAGCCCACTCCCTCTAGGAGGCATACAGATGAAACTCCCAAGAGAGAACTTAGGGAGAGACCAGCACCATGTGGTTCTATTTAAAGATGACCAGCACCCAAAAACCAGCACACAGATGATCAACAATAACCTCAAGCAGGGATGCCATGTATTTCAATTCACAGAGCTTTAGCAATGTCACATCAGCTCACTATATAACACAGGCTGGGGAGCCTATGGTGGCAGAAGAAAGGATAGAATATACCATCTGTTAGGAGTTGAATTGTAACTTTCAAAACACATGACAAAGTCCTAACTTGTAGCACCCACAAAATGAAATTGCAACTTTACTGTGAAACATTACCAATGTCATCATTTAAAAATCATATTGGATTAGAGGAAGCCCAAATCCAGTTAAATGCATCATTGTCAGAGGAGAAAAACTGAATACAAAGACACAGAGATAGACAAGAAAAGGAAGGGGGCTCATCAAAGAAAGGCAGAACCTCTCTGCCATAAACTGGTAGCCATGAACTGATGGAAAGTGAGAAGATTACTCCCTAGAACCTTTGGAGGAAGCATGTCCTGTGGACACCTTAATTTCAGACTGTAGCCCTGTAAAACACTGATAAAATGAATCTCAGATGATGCCATTTGCTATGGCAGCCTCAAGAAACTAGTCCATCCACTCCACTGAGTCAATCTGGGACCCCTATGCTGTGTTTCTGTCTGTTTAAAGATTCCCAAAAGAGATGCTTTCCCTAGGAGACAAATTAGAGGTCCCTCTGAAATGTAAACTATGGTTTATGGCATCAGCCATCAGAAAAAGATTGACCTATTGTGCCCTTGAGGAAGAAGCCAGGTGATCTGCTGAGTTCTCCCTCATCTGAATGTTATGATAAGTAGACGAGGGCAGTAATTCTGGTCTGAAAGGAGCAGACGTTTGGAGTCCAAGACCCCAAGGGATGAAGGTTTGGTTGTGCCACAGATCATCAGAGACCAGGAGAGGTGCAAGCTTAGAGAGAAACTTGTCTACACTCAGAGCAGGCCCCAGACTGCTGTCTCGAATTCACATAAAGAGAAGGAAGAATCCGTTGAAGCTTTGAGATGAGCTGTAGGAGTAAGGGTTGTAACTTGTCCCAATAACCATGCTTTCTAAATGCTGTCTCCTTCATGGAAGGAAGGCAGACCAGGGTCCCATAGAAGCCTCTTGCATTTTTTACAAAAAGACAAGATCTGAGGGACATGGGCACAGGCTACAGAAGATGCTATAGGTATCAACAGATACCTGTTAAGAATAGCCAGTTTATTTCCTAGCTTCAGGGTCCTGAAGAAGACATCCCTGAATCCTTCACCCTTCAGCACACCATCAGCATTTGGTGAAGAAAACTCGGAGCCAAAACAATGCCTCCTTGTAAGGGCAGCCTGTATCTTAATGCATCATTAGCACATAGAACATTTTACACTGCCCTTAGCCTGCTTTGCTCTAGCAACACAGACTCTAGACATCTGAACATATATGAAATGAATTAATATAATTAAACAGAGATTAACTGGATACTTGCAGTCCTTCACAGCCCAGGAAGGATCAGTGGTTTCTTATCCCAGTGGGCTCAGAAACATGCAGAAAACTACAAAAATATCTTGGCATTTGTGCATCACCTTCCAGGGATTTCTGTGTTAATGGCTGTGGTATGGGGCTAGGTATGGGCACTTTCTAAATCTCTCCAAGATGGCCTTGTGCAGGCTCCATTGACTAAAGCTGACAGAGACATCAAAGCAAGTCAGGGGAAAGGGGACCTGAGATTTGATTCTCTGTGTACTGCTCAACCCAAGAGCTGTTGACTTTTCTCACACTATGGGTCCAGGAACCCATCCACATTAAACTGTGTAACCTGTAATGAAGCCTGCATGTGTAGGAGGCAGATTATCTTAAACTGATCTTTGCCTTCAAGCACTGTGCATATTTTGTGTCAACTTTCCTGCCAGACTATCTGCATGGGCCTTGTCTTGGAAACCAGTTCCACTTTGGGTTGTCTAGTTACCGTTCTGAAGCTGTGACTTCCTGCAATACACATTCACCTTCGACCTTGCTCACTTCCAGCCCTTGAGACAAAGAGAGCAATATCTCTGCTTCTGCTACCATAGGGCTGACAATGAGGACTCTCCCAGGAGATTTTCACATTCACAGAATTTGTTTTTTCTATTTTTTAAGTAGATAGTGAAGAGCCACAGATCCTTCAAATAATGTTTATTTCGGAAAAAGACCATTTCTTTCTTTTAACATCACTTTTCTTCAATCACAAAACTGGGTAACTCTCTGCTCAGAGTGGGTGTGGATCTCTCCCAGGCTTCTGTCAGAACAGAGAGATACAATGCTAGCCCATGGGAGCATTATGACTATAGAGGCACTTTGCTGCCCCTTTAAGGGCACAACTCTTTCATGGGCAGATGTCTTCTCTTTTGTAGCCTTGAACACAGGCTCTGCCCCTTTGGCTTTTTGAGACAGCTGTGTAGCTCTGTGCAGCTCTGGCTGCCCTGGAACTTGCTCTGTAGAACAGGCTGGCCTGGCATGCCCCACCACCCAGCAACGCCTGTTTTTCTCAAGTTACTGCTATAAGGCATGAAAGCCAAATGTTTGCTGCAGGCTTCTTAATTTTTAAAGCAGTAGGTTTATTTTTCAAATGTCTTTTATAAAATTTATAAAAGAAAGGTTACTTATAAAATGAGCTTTTCCTTACGCGCATGTGCAATGGGCTGTGGTTACTCAGTTACTGAAGGTGGATGTGTCATGAATGACACATTATTTAAAAGAAATATTTAGTGCCATCTGTCATATCAGTGATGGTTTCAAAGACAAAAAGACAGAATCAAGGTTGGCAAGATGGCTTTCTGGGTAAAGGCACATATGACTCAATGGTGCATGCCTCACAACATAAGTTTGATCCCTCTGTGGTCTGTCTCTGTCTCTGTGTGTATGTGTGTCTCTCTGTCTCTGTGTGTCTCTATCTCTCAAAATGATTTTAAAAAAGAACAAAGAAAGAAAAGACACAAAGTTTTCTGAAGAAGTGTAAGCCCGATTAAAGCTGTGAAAAAATGAACTCTCCGTCCAGCATTCTCTGTCTTATCCAGCTCTGTGAAGAACTATTGTGGGGTATTTGATCACACTGTGTGAAAGGCACCCTCTGATGCATTTAATAGAGAGCTGAATGACCAATAGATAGGCAGGAGAGGTTAGGTGGGACTTCCAGGCAGAGAGAGGAACTCAGGATGATGAATCTAGATGCATGGGAGACCCCAGGGAGACATTAAGGAAGTCTGGTGTACAAAATGAGGAAGTAAAAGCCACTCAGAAATTGACATAATCATGGAACCCTAGCAGGCTTATTTTAGGAGGTACGGAGTTACTCCTAATCTAACAGAGACTGCACAATAATGTGAATGTCTGATCAATTCCTTCTACTGCAGATGTCATTCACTGATTAGTTACAGAAAAAAAAATGATCAAGAATACACATTTCCACCAGGCAGTGGTGGTGCATGCCTTTAATCCCGGCATTCTGGAGGCAGAGGCAGGTGGATCTCTGTGAGGTTGAGGCTAGCATCATCTAGAGAACAACTTAGAAGACAGGCTCCAAAGCTACAGAGAAACCCAGTCTTAAAACAAAAAACAAAAAACGGAAAAAAAACAACAAGGATACCCATTTCCTCACAACATCTGACATAAGCAAAATGAAAGGCATCAATTTCTCCAGCCAATGACACAGAAAACATTTAGTATGCATGTACATTTGTGATTATATACATAACAAAAGCCAGAGTAAAACCATATGTATGTTTAATTAGTTTTCAGACAGCCCAACTTTATAGCCCAAACTAGTAACAAATTAGCATCCTTCCTGCCTCAGCCTCCTGAATGCTGGGACTATAGACATGCACCATCACACCCAGCAGAAATACACTATTGTTGAACATTTTCTATGCCATATAGTAGGCTAACTATTTGATTTTTCTCCCATACCTTATTTAACCAGTTCATTTGGTTTTATTTACCCTTATTTTTTTGCATTACTCAACTTCTCTATCTTATAAAATGTTCCAGTTCTATTTGATGAATATATTCAAATCAAATACTCTTAATAAACATTCCCAGAATCAATTAATTATATTACCTGAAAACTATGAAGGATTTTTAAAATTAGTGAAAAAACAATTCACTGTTAAACAAAGATACAAGAGTTTACATGCACAAAGCCTGGACAGGAAAACAGCTCACCTTGTGTAAAGAGAACTGGGTGCACTTTAAAGCCTCCTCCATTCTTCAACCGTTGAGGCAGTTGCTCAAAATGGTAACTATCGATGTAGAAGTAAACTTTCAGGGCCTGCCGGCTTCCTTCCACTTGGTACGTAAGAGGGACATCTGAAGTGACATTAAATGCCATGTTACTTCCTGAAGTCAAGGATACACTAGACCTTACATTGTTAAACTTTTAACAACAACAAAAAACCCTCTGAAATTTACCATAAAGTAATGCATTAGGAGTGTTCCCTTTTCTCCGATTTCTTTCTCAGCCTGTTTGTCATCAGTGTAGAGGAGGGCTACTGATTTTTCTGCATTAATCGTATATTCCACTACATTACTGAAGGTGTTTATCAGCTGTAGGAGTTCCCTGGTAGAATCTTTGGGGCCACTTATGTATACTATCATATCATCCACAAATAGTGAAACTTTGACCTCAACCTTTCCACTTTGTATCTCCGTGATCTTTTGTTTTCTTATTGCTCTAGCTAGGTCTTCAAATATTATATTGAATGGATATGGAGAGAGTAGACAGCCTTGTCTTGTTCCTGATTTTAGTGGAATCATCTCCATTTAATTTGATGTTGCTGGCTGCTTGCTGTATGTTGCTTTTATTATGTTTAAGAATGTTCCTAGTGTCCCTGATCTCTCCAAGACCTTGATCATGAAGGGATGTTGGACATTGTCAAAGGCTTTTTCAGCATCTAATGAGATGACCATATGATTTTTTCTTTCAATTTCTTTATATGATACATACATTTTTGTATGTTTAACCATCCCTGCATCTCTGGGATGCACCCTTCACAATATCCACAAACAGCATAAAATATCTTGGGCTAATTCTAACCAAACAAGTGAAGACCTGCATGACAAGAACTTTAAGTCTTTGAAGAATGAAACTGAAGAGGATATCAGAAAATGCAAAGATCTCCCATGCTTGTGGATAGGTAGGATTAACGTAGTAAAAATTGCAATCCTACCAAAAGCAATCTACATATTCAATGCATTACCCATCAAAATCTCAGCATAATTCTTCACAGATCTTGAAAAAATAATAGTAAATTTCATACAGAAAAACAAACAAACAAAAAAACAAGATAGCCAAAATAACCTTATACAATAAAGGGACAGCCGGAGGCATCACTATCCCTGACTTCAAGCTCTATTATAGAGCTATAGTCATGAAAACAGCTTGGTATTGGCATAAAATAGAATTGAAACAAAGACACTTATATTAACCCACACACTTATGAACACCTAATTTTTGGCAAAGAAGCTAAAAATATAAAATGGAAAAATTATTTCCAACAAATGGTACTGGAATAACTGGATGTCAACATGTAGATGAATGCAAATGGATCCATACCTATTGCCATGCACAAAACTCAAGTCCAAATGGATCAAAGACCTCAACATAAATCAGTCCACACTGAACCACACAGAAGAGAAAGTGGAAAATGCCCTTGAACATACTGATACGGGAGACCACTTCCTAAATATAATACTAATAGCACAGGCACTGAGAGCAACAATTAATAAGTGGGACCTCCTGAAACTGAGAAGCTTCTGTAAAGCAAAGAACAAGGTCAACTAGACAAAACAGCTCCCTACAGAATGGGAAAAGATATTCACCAAACCCACATCTGACAGAGGGCTGATCTCCAAAATATACAAAGAACTCAAAGAAACTAGACAGCAAACTACCAAATAATCCAATTTTAAAAATGGTATACAGACTTAAACAGAGAATTCCCAACAGAAGAATCTCAAATGGTCAAAAGACACTTAAGTAAATGTTCAACATCCTTAGTGGTCAGGAAAATGCAAATCAATGGCTAAAATAAAAAACACTGATAACAGCTTGTGCTGGAGAGGATGTAAAGAAAGGGGAACACTCCTCTATTGCTGGTGGGAGTGCAAACTTGTAAGGCACTATGGAAATCACTATGGCAATTTCTCAGAAAACTAGGAATCATTCTACCTCAAAATCATTCTACCTCACTTTTGGGTATACACCCAAAGGAAGCACACTCACACCACATGGACATTTGGTCAACTTGTTCATAGCAGTATTATTCATAATAGCCAGAACTGGGAAATAACCTAGATGCCCCTCAATTGAAGAATGGATAAAGAAAATGTAGTACATTTACACAATTGAGTAACTACTCAGCAATAAGACACAATGACATCTTTGAATCTGCAAGCAAATGAACAGAACCAGAAAAAAACCATCTTGAGTGAGGTAACACAGATCTAGAAAGACAAAGTATATACTCACTCATAAATGAATACCAGACATAAAGCAAAATATAACCAGCCTACAATCCACAACTCCAGAAAAGTTAGATCCCTCTGCCAGAAATAGATGGAAGCAGATGATGCACACATCTATAACTAACCATTGGGTCAACCTCCAGAGTACAATCGAAGTGAGGTAGGAGCAATAATATGAACAAAGGAATCAAGACTATGACAGGGAAACCCACAGAATCAGTTGATCAGAGGTAGTAAGAGATCACTGGCTCTACACTGTTGACTGGGGAACTGGCAAAGGACTGAATTAGGACCCCCGAATACAGGTGACAATGGTATAACTTGGGTATGAAGCCACTGGCAGTGGGACCAAATCTAACTATAAAGCATAAACTGGCTTTGTGGAGCGTATTCTCTATGGAGAGATACCTTGCTCAGCCTAGACATGGGGGTTGAGAGTTGGCCCTGCCTCAAGGAGATGATAGGACAGAATTAGTTGACATCCTAGGGGAGGCTTTACCCTCTCTGAGGAGTGGATGGGAAATGGGAGGGGGGAAGAAGGGAGGAACAGGAGGAGAGGAGGGAGAGGGAACTGAGATTGGAATGTAAAAAAAAAAAAATCAATCAATCAATTGATTAATTTAAAGGGGTGTTCACATATGTAAGCCCCTCAAGGCATGCACATGGAC